CCCCGCCACCCCCCGCAGTCCACCGCCTACCCTGACCAGCCTTCTAAGCAGACCCCACGTTTGGTCTTTTGTGGCTACACTAGCGCTGAAACCCACTGCCCAGCTCTCAGGCTTGTGCGCGCCGCCAAGAGGGACCAGACGGGGCGCGTGGGTGTCAGACTCCGCTCCCAGGAAGCTTGCCTGAGCGCATCCAACGCCTCACCCTCAGGTCTTGACAGCTAGAGGCGAAGGGTGCGTGGGGCAGCAGCACCAAAAGGGATGGCTACAAAACGTCTGCTCTTCTTGAGCACAGTGGACTGGGAATACCGATATCTTGATATCTTCTTCACAGCCTCACAAGCAAACACACCGCCAACCCCACCCAGGGTTTCCACAGTCTGTACCGCTCTCCACCTTCCAGTGTCTCACACAACAGCCAGCCTCGACATACAATACTCGCTGTTTCCGACTCTCACTCGTTGTCTCTGGCTAAACCCCGACATTTATTTTAGCGACCAGGAAGCAGAGGCGCGGAGGTAACAGGAATTTGGCTAAAAGTTGATTCTTGCCCCCCTGCACTGCCCACTACGACCCTGGAGACAGCGTTGCTGGCCCGAATTAGAAAACGGGTACAGGCTCCCGGACACACACAAAGCTCTCGAGCTCCCCAGTCCTTTCGTGGACACTGAGCTTTCGGGTCGTCCTAGGCCCCCAGTCCTCACCCCGGGCTGGGGGGCGGGTGGTCTCTGGCGGTGGGTTAGGGCCCTCTGAGAAGCTCAATTTTCAGATTTAAATGTGGGGCATTTTAATGAGCTAGGAGGTGGGGGGGGGGGGGGGGGGCGGGGGGGGGGGGGGGGGGAGAGCCGAGCGGTGAGTGCTGCATCTAAAGAGATCACCGGATCCGGGATCCGAGGATCCTTTGTAAATTAAATATGGACCGACTGGCGCACCCACACTCCGCGTTCCTTCCTTTCTCCACCTCCTACAGCCGCTACAGGAGGTCAAGCGGGCTGGGGCCAGCGCATTCGCTCAGCCCAGACTCAGAGCCAGAACTTCATTCCTCCTACTACTGTAGTCCCCACAGCCGACCCAGAGGGGGGTGTTGAAGGGGTGAGAGCCCCTCGAGCCAGTGGTGGGATGGGGGAAGGGTCCATAGTTCGGAAGTGCGTCCCTGCGGTTTGGGCCTGGCTGGGTTGGGGAGTGGCGCAGCCGGCGGACCTGGGCAAAGTCTCTTTGTCTGCGGAGTAAGGGGGTCTTTCTAGGAGTGTTGTCTGCGTCTTGGGAGCCCTGAGGAGGCGATTCAAAAAGCCTTGGCCCGGGAAGAGGGGTCTAGGGGAGGCAGAGCCCAGCTTTGAAAATGGAGAGTCAGGTCGGGATGGCGAGTTCTGGAGCCTTTCCTGGGTGGGGGCGGGGCGCCTGGCGCGGAGGTAGGGATCCAGGCTCCCGCGTGTACACGCCTGGCTTGTGGACCCCCCACCCAGTTTCCTCCTCTCTCCTGGTTCTTTTTGCGAGGAGGTGGACGCAGAGGCGGGAGAGCAGGGGACATCTTGGAAGGGTTGAGGGACTGTAAGACAGAGGCTGAGGAGTGGAAGTGAGAATGGTTTCGCTTACTCTCCGCAGAGTGTTCCCCTGGACCGCAGGGACTCATCCCGCCAGCGACCCGGAACCTTCGGGACCCGCGGGCCAAGAAAAAACCTTTTCCCTTGCTTTCCTGCCGGGGCTGCAGAAGCCGGGCGAATTCAGCAGGAGGTAGGGCTCCAAGCGCCAGGACCGCGGCTAAGGGCGCAGTGGCCACCCAGAGAGGGCGCGGACTCCCACGGGCTCCTGTGGTTCCCGCCCACTCTCCAGCGAGCGCTTTTGTTCCCTGAGCGTGCCCTCGGGATAGACAACCCTTACCCCAGCCATCGACGACGGAGAGCCCAGTGCCTGACCCGGCAGCCTGAAGCCCGAGTTGCTCCTGGCAAGGTCCTCCAATAACTGGGGTAGGAGCCACGACTCCGGGTTCAGCCTCCGAGCTCAGCTAAAAGATTGAGCGCTTGTCGTCTAGCGCCGCCAGGCGCGCAGTAGCAGTCTAATGACTATAATGTTAATGGTACAGTTACGGAGGGGCTGGAGAATCGGAACTAAGATACCACCCCCACCGCTGCCCACGTCTTTGATCGTTAAAGAAACAGGCCCCTAATCAGGTGGGTGGAAGTAGGTGTGAGGAGAAGAAAGAGATAAGGTTTCAAGGACTCAGCGCGGGGTCCCCAAATGCAGAATTTGTAGAATCCGGGCTGAGGATTTTTGGCGAAGTTGGAGTATGGACCCTAGACAGACCCAGAGCCGACAGCTGGAGCTCCGGGCAGTTTTTTGCAGATCTCTAACTTCGACGTTGCGGACCCTGACGGTCCCAAGGGTGGCGTGGGTCGAAATCCAGTAGATCCGGGCATTGGCTTCTCTGGCTCACTTCAATTAAGGTGTCTGGCCTAGGCCTGGTTCGAGCCCGCCCCCTGCTGGACACTGACTGCCGGGTGCCGAGGCCGGGGGTGGGGGGAAGCCTGGCCAGAAGGGCTTCTGCTGAAATCCCCGCGCCAAGGCCTACGCGGCCCCCCGCCCCCCGAGGGGCAATGCTCCGAAGTGGGGGACTCTTAACTAAGGCACCAAAGCTTTCTTTCTCATGTCCATCCAGCAAAAGTTCGTCCCAGGAATCTGCAGCCTCCTTACCTGACTAACAGTACAGCCTCCGCTGTGCACCCTACTGTTTCCAGGGTCCAGACACAATATAGGCACCGTCTGAATACTCCATGAACGCATAGTCCCTGGCACAAATCAATGAACTTAGTCCTCCTGGGACAGAACTTTCCTGTACCTTTCCCATCCTCCCCCTCGCGTGAGCTCTTTCTCTCTGAGCCCTGTTTGAAGCCCTAGAAGACTGTCCCTAAGTCTCAGGACTTTGTCGGGGACTATAAAATGTCTGAGTTCTGAAAACTAAAGTCTTTGGGCTCTAAGAGAGGAAAAGAAACCTGCAGTTGGAAGTAATGGATATTTGATTAAGGTTCAGCTGCAACCATTGCACGCAGAATTGTACATGCCTTGCATTTAATGCAGCATATGGGTGATTTAATGGATGTGAGAGGACCTCTAAAAGAGCCAGGAGGGCATCAAATATGCCCAGCATGGCAGCCTGCTCAGAAGACCCTCCCCACAGCTGCCCTACAACCAGAATCTCCTAAACACTCAGTGCTTCCCACCTTTCAGCTTCTGTAGTCCTGTCCCCTGCCCCCCCTACACACACACACACACACACACACACACACACACACACACACACTCACAGTGTTCCCTTTCAAAAGCTGCTTTCTTTTTCTAACTTCCAGTGGAAAGCCCACTCCTTTGGGAAGCCAGTCTCTGTTTATAACCTCCCTCCTACCTTCCATTTCATCTTGCCCTTATATATACTTTACATACTGATTAGGAGGGAAAGTTCTATCATCAGACTCCACCATATACTAGCTGCATGACCTTGACCAAGTTACTTAACCTCTCTGTGCCTTAGAAAAAAAGGGTGTACATAAGAATAACAATGCTATTGGGTTGCTATGGAGAATAAATGAGTCCATGCATGCAAAGCTCCTAGTACCTAGCACTCAGATAGTGCTCAGAAATGAGCTATTATTTTTTTCCTTTTCCTTTTTTAAGATGTATTTTTATTGATTTCAGAGAGGAAGGGAGAGGAAGAGGGAGATAGAAACATCCATGATGAGAGAGAATCATAGATCATCAGCTGCCTTTTGCACACTCCACACTGGAGATTGAGCCCCCAACCCAGGCATGTGCCCTGACCAGGAATAGAACCATGACCTCCTGGTTTATAGGTCGATGCTCAACCGGTGAGCCACACCGGCTGGGCTGAGCTATTATTTTTTCAACAATAGCTATAATTAGCCATCATTATTGCCTTGCAGAGTTGGGTCCAGATAGAATGAGATGTTCTGCTGCAGATGCCTCCACATGCTTCTGTCCTGACTCCCCCAACAGGGGAAGGACCTTGGCCCTGCCCTCAAATGTCTCTCTTCACTCCCCAACCCTCTCCCCCCACCATGGTATAGATAGCAATCAGAAATTACTATTAGGATTTATAAAGGTTTCTAGTCTGAGATACTTTAAACTAGATTCTGATGCTGTGGCTGTCTCCAGTGCCCCTATATGTGAAGAGAGGCTTGGTGGAAGGTTTTTAATTAAAACCACAATCTGTTTAAGTATTTATTGGGTTCTGTGATTTTAATTATTTTCTAGGGGGCGGGAAATCCACATCTGCATATGGGAAGACTGTTGATTCAGAGGAAAGTAACAACCTGTGGCAGTTTGCTGGAGGCAACTGGGAGGAATTTCCTGAATTGTTCAAATGAAGCTTGACATTATTAATAATCTGGATCCAGTCTATGACCTTCCTCCTAGTGCTTTCATGAAATTAGCTTAACATGCTGGCAAGGCCATCATGTTATTGCCATCACAATTAACGACAGCTCTTCTAGTGGCATCTCCTGTAGGTGTAATTATCTCACTGAAGATGAGGAACCCCTGCCTGGAAAAGGCAGCACTCCTGCCTGTGAGGGGCAACAGGCTTAGCAGTTCTTCCCAGTGCAGGCACCCACTGGCTCTCTCTCCAGAGGGGAGTCCTGGGCAGCCAGCCCCCTCCATAGAAGGGTGAAGGGAAGGGAGGGCAGGGAATCATTTCAGATGCTTTGTCTGCAGCAAACAAAATTCCCATCTTAAACTGTTTTAAATGATTAAGTGTACATCTCACAGCGAGAAGCAGGGCTGGTAGACTGAATGATATCAGCAGGCCCAGATTCTCTGTGTCTCTCCTCTGCCACCCTTAACAGGGTTTGCAACCCGAGACTGTGTTCTTTGGTGCCATTGGAGGGCTCAGTGGCAGCTGGGGTCACATGCTTATTGGTTACAGACTGGTGGATAGAGAGACTGGATTCATTCCAGAAGCCATAGCCTCCTCTTAGGTCGTATCAACACATTGACTTAGGTCTCCCCATCTCTGAGCCAGTCACTGGCCGAAGGGATGAATTTATTGGTTTAGAGTAATGATCATCTTGTCCTGAAATGGATGTTGAGTAGTCAGTTTTAATAGTCACTATAAGCAAGAAATCCCCTTTAAAAAGAAGTGTTGGGAAATTGCATGATTAGAGTAATCTAATATTGTGTCAAAATGAATTTAAATGAGACTGGCCATAATTATAATGAACCATATTAGACACCTCCTTATCTGGAGATAGACCAGTCTATGTCCACAGTGTGTGAACAGGATCAGTGCTCAGGGTGTGAGCAGAAGCAGGGCTCAGCGTATAACCAGGGTTGGGGTTCAGTGTGTGAGCAGGATCAGAGGGCTCTCTTGGATAGACATACATACAAACTAGAGGATTCTCTGCTTTCACAGAATCCTTGAAAGGGTAAAAATGTGTTCTTGGAAATGCCCATGCTGGGATCCAAAGCTATATTCAGAGCAATAAAAGCTTCAGTCTTCAGTTGAGTATTTATGAACAGGAGACATTTATGAACTCAAAGATGTTCATTCCTACCTGACTTCACATCCTGAAGATGTTACCTGGTCCCATGGCCGAGAAGAGAAGCACTTTACTGTCCAGATGGGAAACAGAAGGGAGAATTTCACCCTGGTCTATAACAAGTGGGGAGGCAGTACAAGGCTGCCAGCTCCACAGACTCACTGTGTGATCTTCGGCAACTCCTAAGAATGGGTTGGATGTGCTCTGAGGGCCTTTCCCTTTCAGTGCTGTTCCCTGACACCCTGGTCCTTGGGTGCTTCGGCTTTAGGAGAAGCCAATTTGAGGATGAGTTGGGGCTTCTGGAGGCCTCCACCTGGGCTTCCTGCAGGAGGATGTCTTTATCCCCCTGGGTAGTTTCCTTGTTTTCCATCCCATCATACTTCATCCGCCTCATCTAGTGCGGTCATCAGCACACCTGGGCCCAGCTAACCCTCCCCCTAAAACTATGGGCGGGGTGGGGTGGGGGTCCTCCTGCTACAAAACACTTCCTGAAGACCCTTCATATAGCAGGATTCGGCAGGAGGGTGGGGGATAGAAGGGGGACATCATTAGAGATAAAATCTGATTACTGAATAGGTATATGGGCCCAGGAAGAAAGGTCAAGTCTGCCAGGAGCTCCCAATGCAGAAGGAAGATAGACTTTCTGCTCTGCCACCCTCAATTCTCTGTTGCCTGGTGCCATCAGGGGACGCAATAAACACAGATTCTGAGACTCATCCAAGGCAACGGACAAGTTCAGGAGTTCTCTGCCTGTCGTGTCCCAGGATGCTCTGTGGGGAAATCACACCTCAAAGTTTGTCCTGATTTAGGCAAAGTAGTGGCTTCAATGAACTCACAGCAATCAGACACTGGCCAGGGAGTGCCCTGGGGAGGGAAACTTCCAGGCATTTCCCTCTCTGTGCCTGTAGGCAATGAGCTCCAGTAGCCCAAGGGCAGGCCTGGAAAGAAAGTTGCAGGTGTGAGTTGTCAGAAGCAAAGCACACAGAAGCCAAGGGATGGGCATGCAGAAATGGGTCAGCTACGTCATTCATTCCACAAGTAGTGATTGAGTCTCCCCATGTTGCCAGGCATGGGTGCAGCTATGAACCAGGCAGACGGCATCTCTGCTCTAAGAGACATTACAGGCTCCTGCACCTCTCAGCATGTTCAGGCCTCCTTTGTGTGAACCTTGGGGCTTCTGGAAGGCTAGCATCCCCAGGACAGGCTCCATCTGCTTCAATAGGTGACCTACCTGGAAAGACATCCTGCACCCACTGTAGTGAATAGGGAGCTGTCCAGAGTCACAGAACATCAGAGCTTGGAGCCTGGAGGTTCTCTATCCCTACTCCTTCACTTTATTGGGGAAACTGAAGCCAAGATGGAGGTCACAAGTAGGTAGGACTGTGAAATGTCCCCAGTGCGCAGCTTCTCTGGTCCAAGACAGGCCAATCTTGGTGGCCATCACTGACCTTGGTTTAAAGGCCCTTGAGACTCTCCAATGAGGCCTCTCTGATGGTTTTTATCTGGATGGGACAGGTGGTCCACTTCAGGTCTGTATTAGCCCCCTGTACTCCCTGAGAGACTGAGGTTGTGCCTCAATTGCAGCAGCTCTAGTAATAGCATGTTGGCCCCCAGCCAGGCCCCACAGAGAGAACCGCCAGCCAGGCAGCTGGTTGGGGCAGAAATCTGGAGGAAAGGAGAACGCTTCCTGAGGTGGCATGTTGCAGAGGTGCCTCTAATGCGACACCCAGGCAAGGCCAGTGTTAATGGCCAGGTCTTGGGGACAACCGGGTACAATTCAGTGTAAGGGAGTCTGGAGCAGGAGATCAGAGGTCAGGGGGTTGTACCTGCTTTTCCACTGACTTTCTGTGAGACTCTGGAAAGGTGTCTCTTCTCCTGACCTGTTTCACCTCCTGTGCTCTGGGGCTAAATGTCCCTCACCACCCACCTAGGGCAGTAGCTTGGATTTGTCATATTTTCACTCCTTAGATCTGTTCTTACCCATTCCAAAATGCGGAAGGTTCTCTTCATGCAGTGACCTCCCAGGAGGGACAGCCCCCAGGCATAGCTCTCTGCAACCTATCTGAAGGGCCCCAAATAGGTTTTACTGGGAAAGCCAGTGTGGAGGGGCAAGGGAGGGTGAGCCCATGCCCCGCCTGTGAGTGCTTCAGCCTCCTCTCCCGGAGCCCTTATCTCCAGACCCAGCTGGAAACTTGATGTATTTATTTGCTTCTGCCAGGACCTCCTCTGCCTCTGCCGGCACTGAAAGAAAGTGACCTTCCTGCAGATGCTGTGTCTGGTGAGCCAGGTGGGGGCTGAGGTAGGGCGTGCTGTAAATCCTTCCAGCCTGCAGGGTGATCCCATCAGGGTAGAGGAGACGGTCCAGGAGGCTTAGAGAGATGGGAACAGAGGTACCAGGAGAAGTAGTTGGGAACAGAGTCACCGGGATCCTAAATGAACCAGAACCAAGAGAAAGAGGAGAGGGAGAGAAGGGAAGAAAGAAGAGGGAGAGGCGGGGAGTGGATGGGAACGGTGGGGTGGGAGTGAAGGT